GTGAAGGCAAAGCTAGACAGCTGCAAGTGCTCTGTACTGAGGTGGACTTCCCACCCTGTAATAGTGGTATAATAGGAATATGGGAGGACCTACTAGAATAACCATCTATGCCTTTTAGTCGCTATTACTGGGTCGAGGTCCACCAAATCTTGCTCAGGCCCGGAGAGACGTAGTATTTTCCGTAGTCCTCAATGCAAGGCCTTGATGATGGATAAAATGCTTGCACAAATGCGATCGGCTGAAACGTTTGATTTCTGCTCCTAATAGTAATACTAATAATTACGAGAATCATAGCAATCACAAGAATAGCAGTCATAACAGCAAAAATGCAAATTGTAATGATAACAAGAACAACAGCAATATTCATAGTGTTGGTAGGGTTTTTGCAAGTGTCATGCAGGATATTGCCCGTCGACTGTGCAGCTTCCAAGGCATGGCTTCGAGAACTTCCCAGCCAATAATCTCCCGAACAGGCATGGAACTCCGCATAAGGATTTAAGCCTGTAGAGTGTAGGGTTAATGGTTTAGGGTATAGGAGTTCAGGGTTTAGAGTTTAGGGTGTAATGAAGGCATTGTAGGCAACGAGGAGCTAATTTTCAGGTTGGGTGTTGGGTCAGCTCCTGACACGGCCCTGTCATCCAGCAACCCGAATCGTGGCAAGAATATCCTCTTGTGATTTGCGCAGTAGATTAGTATCATCATAATACGCACGCCCTATTACCAACCCTAGCCCCCCTACCGCCCCAAGAACATCATTTCGTCCACTAGTGTATTGTAGGCTAATCTCAATAACATGTGACCCTAGAGGTGGGGGCAGGGGCTGGTGTGTGTAGCCCTTGGGGCGACCTCATGGGCAAAGGTGAAGGTTGGAGCGGACTGCGCAGCACTCAGCTTCCTCAGCGACCATCACCGCAAGGGTCCCAGTACCCAAGTAGCGGAATTCCAGCTACCAAGCAGCGCCGGCTTCCAAGTATTTTGTCATGCTGATGCAAGGCAAGTTTGAGGTTTAGGAACCACTCATGTCTTCTTCACTACCCTCTGTGCTAGCTGCGCAAGGAGACAGAATCCACTCTCACTGGAGCAAAAATCATTGCCGCAAGTCCCAAGCTACATCTGCTGCTCTTTGCTCAGTAGCAGCTGAACACATGAACCCGTTCTTGTTCTGTTTGCGACATTTGGGCTCTCAAGTGCTTCCGATAACTTGCGGAGAGTATGCAAGCTCATTCTGGGAATTTTACGGGCATTCTGCATGGATTTTTGCAGGAATCTCTGAGTGCTAAGCCCTTTCCGAACTTCTGACGTGGAATCGACGACGAAGTCACCTGAGATAGCTCAAGACTTTCCATAAGTACTAAAGATCCCAAAGATCCTAAACCCTAAACCTTGGAGCCCTTCAAGTTTCGTCATGCCGCTACTTCCATGTGCATGCATATAACCCATCCACATGAAAGGTAGTAGGTTCCATGGGTTTAGGGTTGAGGGTAAACCCTGAACCCAAACGCAAGAGCTGCCCACGACTGTCCACGCAATGAAGCCGGGCTACGATCTATCTTGTACTGTCCAGGCTCCAGATGCCTGCCATGCGCGGATTTTGTGAACTGAAATAGGGGAATTCTGTTACCCTACCCCGTATAATCAGGACCATATAATATACCTATCGTATGACTACAATAGGGTCTCAGTCTTAGGGATTGGCTAGAAAACCATTGTTAAACTGGCTTAGTAATCCCAAGCCCTAAACCACCTTTGGAAGTTTAGGGCGCTTGATGGTACTTGAAGATTCAAGGCTTCAGGTTTGGGGCCTGCGTCCTAGTCTTGCTTGTAAGCCGTAAACCCTAAACCAAAAGCTTGCCATCGGAAGCTTAAGCATTTTCTGGGGTTGTTTGGAGAAGCTGTGATGTTTCGCTCGCCTTATCCAGTATCACACTTACGAGTATCAAGCAATGCTGCTGATAGTTGCTGCTACATGTTTCTCGCCGCAACTCTGAGTGCCATCATCGTTGCTGTGGTTTGGCTTTGTTCGAACTACGAGCATAGACTCCGAACCCATCAACTAATGTTACCGACGCTACTCACTGAAATGCGTCTCAAGAAGTGCTGCAAGGCTAGGAGGATCTTGCAAAGTTGGGATGCAGAAAGGCCTGCTAGCTTGGAAGGGTCAGGGGAACTTAGTAAGCTGGACTGATGATGTGGACCCCAGGGTCATGTTACGGTTGGTTGGGGATAAGCACTAAACCTTATTCACCTGTGGACTTCTGTGCTACAAGCTCTGAACAAGGAGTCATACCAGCTCTTCCATCATTGTACCAAAAGGAGTCGATGATTTTGAGACAGCATCTGGTGGCATTTGAGCTCCAGTAGTTGGGCACATTATGCCATATCGCACAGGCAAGAACTACTTTAATTATCCCTCAACTTGCCGGAGGGTCTGCGCAGCTGTTGCCCCGACTTTGTCGGAGAACCAGGTCTCATTCCAGCCTTTGGCAAAAAATCCCAAGGCGCTTATGATACAGGCACCGGTGAGGCTAGAAGATCTTCGTCTGCGCGTTAGTAGCTCAAGGAGATGCTACATTTTCCTGTCCCGCAGCATCTATTAAATACATTGCTGGTGCTGTTCTGACTGAGATGAGAGTTTGGACGTGCGCTTGCAGCTTGCGCATTTGTGCAAGTCTGAGAAGGTTCTGCTGCTTCAAGCAAGTGTGCAATGGAGCAAAGAGTTGCCGCCACTGCGAGGCGGAGGGCTTTGGAACATGACAAGTAGCTGAGGACGAGATTACCTGCCCCCATTTCTGGGCAAACAGGGGCCTAAGCAAACGCAAGCCAGACACTAGCACTCCTTGCGTCCATTACATCTTCAGGCTAGTGCAACATCCTCTGTAACCATCTTGGTTCAGCTGAGCTTGAGGCTGATGGTCCAATGTGGCGACTTGCGCTTGTCTGCGAACTTATCCAAGTACCTGGTGCTGCTGGTTGTGGTGGTGGTGGTGCTGGTGCTGGTGCTGGTGCTGGTGGCGGTGGCGGTGGCGGTGGCGGTGGCGGTGGTGGTCGGGGTAGCGGTGGCGATGGTGGCGGTGGCGGTGCTGGTGCCGGTGCCGGTGCCGGTGCTGCTCGCTGGTGCTGGTGCTGGTGCTGGTGCTGGTGCTGGTGCTGCTGGTGCTGGTGCTGGTGCAGGTGCTGGTGCTGGTGCTGCGCAGTCAACGCAAGACCCATGGTTTCAATCTTAGGAGTACAACGCAACAATATACAGTCATGATGATGACCGCAACACCAGAATAAGCCAGCATAACCGAATGCCATTATCTCCAGCATGATCGCAACAGAAGCAATCTTGCACTGAAGGCTGCTGAAGAAGTTCTCTGTGCAAGTGTCAAAAAAACGAGACGGCACACAATTTTGCCAGAATTGGATTTTCCCTGCGGCTGTCAACCCTTTGAGTTCATGAATCACGCAGCTGTCGCGCTCGGCGCCGTCTCTGCCAGCCGGGCATCTAGTTGCACTAGTAAAGCAGTTGTGCTCATGTTGGTGGTACTAGTAGCAGCAGCAGTACTAGTAGTACTGGTAGTGCTAGTACCCCAGCTCTGTCATGATGCCCGAAACCACGCTTTGGCGGACGTCCGCAGCTCGAGGAGATCTGGATCCTTCGAGTTGAGCATGGTGCTGCTGTGCAGGGCTAAGTGCCCCGGCTATGTCGCTCAAGAAATGTCCATGAAAATGTGTCCCTCTTTGAGTCCCGAAGAGAAGGGCTCTGTGTTTGTGAAAAAGGTATCTTGAGCAGCTGTGGTTTGGGGACACAGGAATGCGATGAGTTTCTTGAAGCTATGTTTCTTGGCATGTTTATAGTCTCTTTTCAATCCGATATGGTCCATCATGCCTGGCAAACACCCGCACCTCAGCGAACCTTGTGCTACAAAGATTGGATGGAGTTGGCCCAAAGGTGCCTGAGGGGGTTTTAGGCTTAGGGAGAACAATGTTTCAACGAGCACCGATCTGGCAAGCCATCATCCTACTAAGGCTGCGGCTACTGCATGTTCGGGCAAGAGCAGCGGCACACACTTGAATATGTCCACGATGCATGACAAGCCATGGTCCCTCTGGTTCGGAGCCATGTAGGTATGAGCCGGACTCTAGAGGAGGCCATGTTTTGCACACGCGTTTCTACAGTGCACTATAAATCTCATGGCTACGTGGCTCCAATTGTATTCTCCGCGCTTGCTAGTCTCCTATACTCTATATACACCCTGTAATAGAGTAGTTTCCATCTTACTTTCCATTATCCCAATATGATCCTAACATAACCCTAATATTGCCCCAGTAAATGTGACTGTACCCTGGCAGAGCACTGTCAGCGGGCGTGGGTGCTACCTTTTTCTGGCCGCTGCAAAACTTGGAGAATCACAACTCTTGGGACGCGCAGGATTTGCTAACCCATCTAAGATGAAATGGTTGGCTTCTCTCCAGAATGCACAGTCCTGCCGCTCGGCAGCAGATGCGGGAGACCTACGGGAGCCTGAGTAAGTAAGAATCTACATCCCGCCTTGTAAAAGTACATACTATAGCCCATACAATCCTCCGAGGCCCCCATAGTACTACTTTATGCAAAGATCATAGCGTTTTAGCGATGGCCAGCCCCCTTATGGCAAGGCCAACATTCCGCAGAACAGGTTCTCATCCTGTATGCTAGCAGCTGAAGTCAGTGAGCTTCACAGCATGCCTATCCAACTAGCTCACAATCTGCGCGATCACTAAGTGCGCCGTGGTTCTTCAAATGGGACTTGATAAATGTTAGCCGCTTCACATAGGCGCAAACTCCTGACTTCACCCGTGCAAGCTGAATCACTCACTCCAATCTCTTGGCCGTTGGTTCGCTGCAGACCGCCCAGCAGTACAATCCCTGGACCCTACATGCTTAATATAGGGGTTGTATTGGGATAATGGAAAATTTAATGGAAAGTACATTTAGGGTACCAATGTACGACAGCATCTTTTGTCTTTCTGTCTTTTTACAGCCTTGGACGAATGGTGTCGTAGAGCAGTAGCTGCACCGTGACAATCAGGGTCATTTGGAAGATACGCGTTTGCCATCCAGAGAACAAACCAGCGAAGCCCAACCGCTTTGTTGCATCACGCATTTGCGACCACACGCTTGGCGGTTTATCATCCCAGAAGCTCTCGCTGTCCATGGGTATTGGGCACTCGCCTGACCCTCCTTCTACGGAAATGCAGGTGAACACTGTATCTGCTGGTTGGGATGCGAGGGTGGCAGCTGTTGCAGCGCCAAAAGCTGCTAACACACGAGCCAGTAAAGGGTTGACAAAGACCGCCCAGAAGTCGCACATGACGTCGTATGTGACGAGCTTTGCTACCGTGTATGAGCACTGCTTCATCAACAGCGGCACTAGGGCCCCATACCAGCCATTCCACACACCCTGGTCGTTACGCAGTTGCTGCAGCGCCAGCCATGTATTGAGGCCGAACATGGTGACAATCCTTGGCTGGCAGCATGTGGCTCCAATGCGGGTTGGCGTGCAAGTCTCACGTCCACTCAGGCACAAAAGTAAGGACCATCATGGAGCCTTTGGCAAATTGCCATGGTACTGGTAGCTTTGACTCCTGCTTAGATAGCTAGTCGGAAGTGGAGCAGCAGTGCTGAAGCCAACAACAAGAATGTCTTTTGGTCAACGCCAGCGAGAACGATCGTGCCCTGAACCACTACCATGTACAATGGTCATCGTAGCAGCTCCTAACAGGAGAGCCTACCTACTGAGAGGTCATTCGGGGCAGGTAGTACATTTTGAAAGTGCAGCCAAGCTTCTGGTGGATTCCATGCATCCCTTTCTTTTGCCGTTTGCGGAAGCGTTCGTAAGCCTGTTTGGCGGGCTCCATAAAAGACGGATCTGCAACTAGCATTATTCTTGCTGTCTCAGCTGGGCAGAGCACTACAGTTGCCAGCATCTCGGCCAGCAGAGCGCATAGGCACAGTAGGCCCACATGCGAGGCCACGGAAACAATCTCATTTACCCGGAAGATCGACTTCCACATCTCAAAGAGGCCATACTTGAAGGCTCCATGGAGGAAGTAACCAGTAAATGTCGCTCCCACACCGCTGAGGAGCTTCTGGGGCCCATGTGATTTCACGAGCTTCATGGCCATCCCAAGCCTCGGGTTGACTTGGGGGCCCTGTAAAAATCAAATTTCTATGGCTTTATAGGGGAACATATATATATATGGCGCAAAGGGATTAAGATGGATTAAGGCAATAGAAACTGAAAAACATGTTCAAATCAACCCCTGAAGCATGCCAGGGCATCGGCCCTCCCTCTCTTCCGTTGCCTGCTGCGACGTCTTTATGACATCGATCGGCGTGGCAATCACATGCGAGAAGCTAGAACACAAGCCGCCTGCCACGAAAAAGCCCAGGGGACCCAAGGTTGCCAGCATGCTGGAGGGAGATATGCTGGGTAGGGCTGCTAAGGCCACATGGATCTCTGGCTGGTGGGAAGGCCATGAGGTGTCAGTGGGCCTCTGAAGCCTCCGTGGCCTTGCTTGCTGCACCTCATGTCTCGGCCCAAGCCCGGACACAAAAGCGTGCTGCTCATGCAGGAACTGCATGGAGGACACCAGCAGCAAAGCCGTGGAAGCCAAACTCCTGGACCGACATCTGGACGGCAAGCTGCATCCACGCAGCCCGTCATGAGCATGACACGTCGCATGGAGGCAGCAAGTGGCGTGCCGCCAGCCAGACTTTCGCCTGGAGGTGGCATCCATCATGGCGCACAACTGCAAACCGATTGAAACACCTACCTTGTCAAGGCTGGCTTTGGTACTTGCCGGCCGGATGGCAAGAGGTGGGAGTGTTGTGCCTAAAGCATGGCTGCCCGGATTAAGGGCTATCACTGGCTACGATGGGTTGCTATGTCTAGTGCTAGCAATTGATGCCTAAGGTGACGGGGGGTCTGTTGCACTAAGACTGGCTGCTACAAGTTTCCCTTAAGCTGTTCCCCCCTGGCAAGGTGAAACTCACCCCTTCTGTCGGCTTCAGGGGTAACGGCTGCGAGGCCAACATGAGAAGAAGGCGCTATCACGTTCCGCATTGCTTGATGCTTCGGTTCCCAACTTGCAGTCCTAAACGTCCCCGCTGCTTGACGTTGATTCGGGAGCTTTCAAATCCAATGGAAGATCCAAGGCAAAACAGCTGGAATTGGCCTGAGACATCGTCTGCTAATGAAGTCTGAGCCCCGCGCTTGTGTGTTCCCACCTCTTTGGTGGAAACCTGTCTTGCAAGCATAGCACTAGCACTGTGGCAAGCAGTGCGCCCCTTAGCTTGTTCTGCTCCTAAAGTAGCTGGACCAGTGGAGATATGCCCCCAAAACGCAAATGTAATTGAGAATGCCAAGTGCAGTGAAAGAGCCGATTTGAGACTGTTTGACTGTAGCATTTCCATCTAAGGTGGCCAAGAGCAGCATTCAGCATAACTTTCTGCCCCAGTTACCTGTAGATCAATGGGCCTGCTCCGCCACCAAAGACATGAGCCATAGTCTAAACTCCCGGTATTCCCCTAATAAGCCCTATAACATTGCCCTATATACTCCCCTATATAACAACGCTTTTAAGGAGTTTAGACTACAGCTCATCATATGACGTCTGCGGAGATCCACCTTTAAGTGTACCCGAACTACCAACCTAGAACTCTCCTCTCCTCAGGGGGGTGCTGTTGATTACTAATAGTAGTTATAGTAATAATACCACAATATAATCATAAGAAGGATAATCACAATAGTAGTGTTGTAGTTGTAATAATAGTAGTAGTAGTAGTAGGAGTAGTAGTAGCAGTAGCAGTAGCAGTAGCAGTAGTAGTAGTAGTAGTAGTAGTAATAGTCGTAGTGATAATGATTGTATTTTCTCTAATGATTGTGATAATAAATCGTACTAATAGTACTAATGGT